ATTCCACTCCTTCCTTAACCGGGTTAGTAACTCACATGCTTGTTATCATTTCCCATCTGTTTTATAGTCACTAACCTGAGTTTCCAATTCTACAAAGTATCCAGTGATCTTGCCCCAGCTGACGAGCCACTGTACACAAAGCAGTTTATAAACGCTTGCTGTGAAAACTCTCTGATCTGTCTGCTTGAATTCTGGATCCAAGTTTTGAGCTTCAGACAATCAGACTGTGAACCAAAATACAACTAGGAACAATAAGGAACAGTTTACTATTAAATGCTATTAAACTAGTTTACTATTGGAACGCTGCAGAGAACTCGGTAGAAGGTTTATCCAGGTGGAAGGAACCACTGAAAGGGAGAAAGCAGGTTGGTGGCTGGACAGGTAATTCATAGTAACGAGAGAGTCAGGCAAGGGTCAGAGCCAGCAAATTCATTCCAATACAGGGGTTTTTAATAGTAGACAGAAATCAGGGAACAGGAGCAGGGTAGATATCCAGAACAAAACAACACAACAATCCAGAAGGCAAAAACAGGGTTAAAATAAGGCAGTCCCTTAACGCTGGATGCTTACTAACCATGGGCTTTCAGACAATCTGGCACTGCCAACTGGTCAAAGGCATGCTTATGAAGGCTGGGAGGCAGGTGGGGGGAATGAGTGGTAATAAGACTGAGCAGGAGCAGCACAGTGAGTAATCAGAGCAGGAGGGAAAGAGGAAAGTAAACACACTATTAGACAGGTCAGAATATTTCACAGTACCCAACCCTCAAGAGCCGGCTCCCATTGGACCCCTAGGTTGATAGGGGACAGACAAATGAACTCCCTGATGAGCAGAGATGGCAAAAGTACTCACTTTCTGTACTTGAGTAAAAGTACAGATACGTGTGTTAAAAAATACTCTGGTAAAAGTGGAAGTACTGATAAAACTTCTTTACTCAAGTAAAAGTAACAAAGTACAGGCTTGTAAATTTACTTAAAGTATAAAAGTAAAAGTAGAAACCACTTTTTTTTCATGCCGTTGCCTACATTTTAAATGGATGTCTGCCAATAGGACTAGATCTCCGTTGTGTTCATTTTCAATCATCTCGTCGTCCATGCTACTATGCTAACGCCACCGCCACCAAGCTGCAATGATTTGCCGCCAATGAATACAGCCGAATCTGTCGATTCATCTTGTAGTGGTGCTTCAAATGCAACGTAGATTCCCATCCAATTAGATTGAATTGGGTATTGATAACGTGAAAAATAATAACGGTAACTCCATTGAAATGATTCAAAACTAAAGTAACGAGCCAATTTTTTTAAATGTAAGGAGTAGAAAGTACAGATATTTGTGTAAAAATGTAAGGAGTAGAAGTAAAAAGTCGCCATAAAAATAATTAGTAAAGTAAAGTAAAAATATCAGAAAAATCTACTTGAGTACAGTAACAAAGTATTTGTACTTCGTAACTTCCCATCTCTGCTGATGAGTGACTTAGCAATGAACTGTGCTGTAATCCAAAACCATTCCTCCGGCCCATATCCTTCCCAGTCCACCAGATAATGGACCCCACGACCCCTCCTGGATCATAAGATGTGTCACACGGTATAGATAGGTTCTCCATCAAGGTACTGGATGGCAACTCGGTTAACGATCTTAGAAATGGGAAAAGGCCTGACAAAACAAGGTGCCAACTTAACACGCGCCACTCTGAGAGGGAGACCCTTGGTGGAAAGCCTGACATTTTTGACTTGATAGGCAGGAGAGGGGACAGGATGACAATTGGCAGTTCTGGAATGTAACCCGGACAATGGCCTGTATAGCTTTTCTCCAGACTCGTTTGCACTTCAAGGCAGTAGTGCGGGCAGAAGGAACATGGGCTCCCTCTCCCGGATAAGGAATACCGGTGGCTAAAAACCATACACAACATAGAACATGTGAGGCCAGTGGTACATGAGAGAAGAGAATTAATTACACTCTCAATCCAAGATTGTGGGAGATTGTGGGACCACTTAGAGGGGTCAGACCAGCACAGGACACAGAGCTTGGTCTTAATTTCCTGGTTAGTTCTCTCAGTTTGACCATCAGTTTGAGGGTGGAAACTGGAGGTCAGGCTGATAGAGATGCCCAGCATGGAGCAGAACTCTCTCCAGAAGCAGGAGATAAACTGGGGACCTTTATCTGACACAATGCCAGAAGGGAGCCCATGTAGACAGAAATCCTCCCTAGCCAATATGGACCAAAATGAGCGGGATATAGCTTAGGCTGAATGTGCTGTCAGAGACCACACATTTGTCCTACCTCTACCAAACATGATTTCTTCTCAACTCTCCACTTCACTGACTCGAAGATTAAATTCTACCTCACTGAAATTGCATTTATCTGCTATTTCCTTTCATTGATAACCATGAGATGAATTCTATTAGTTGGATCATTTACAGTAAAAACACATTAGCCTGTTATCCAGTTCACAGCCATGCTGGAGATTCTGTGGCCAGACGGATGTAGGCCACACGAACATATTCTGGTCTTGTCAAAAGCTAACCACATACTGGCATAATGTTTGCCTAATTTTGAAATACATATTGGGTTATTGAATACCCAGATCATGTAAAACACTTTATCTAGGATGCCTGACACATGATGTAATTCAAAAGGATGATGAATACCTGCTAAAAGTATTGCTTTCACCATCAAGGAAAACTATTACAAAACTATGGTATAGACAAGACCCCCCTGAGGTGGAGCAGTGGTTGAACATTGTGGAAGAGATTTTTCTAATGGAGAAAATCACACATAGACTGAGATTGCAGGAGGGTTAGATTTATGTTAAATGAGAAAAATGGAGCGACTACAGGCGCAAGGAGAATACCACTCTTGTATCCAGATAAATATGGTCAAGGTTGTCCAGCATTGTATATGAATTTGAATGTATTGATGCCTCTCCACTGTATGTGTTCAGAAATGTTCAATAAAAAATAAGTATATAAAAAAAAACATTAGCCTTCATGAGAATCCTTCTAGCAGCCATTTATGGCTAAATGCAGGTAGAGGACAGAAAATGAAGTGGCCTGTCTGTCTTCATTTACAAACTTGTCCTGCCATGTATTAATCATCCTCTTCTAATGCAACTGCAAGTTCCACTTAGAGGACCCTCATTTGTGCTCACTCCTTGGCTTGGCTTCTGTATACAGACAGAACCAGATTTTTGAGAGCCGTGTGTGAGTAAATCTCGAACATCCTTTCCCTGCTCACCTGATCTTGACAAGTTTTTGCCTCTGGGATTTTCCTGTCTTGCCTTTCCCTTTTTAGACTATACATAGGCCTCTGGTTTGGGCCCTATGTGTAGGCTCAAGCCAATGACTTTCGCCTAGCACATGGATTACTCTCCTTGCCTGTGATTGACGCTACTACTGAGGGGATCTTTCAACTCCATCCAAGTGGTGGGAGAAAGAGAAACTCAGACAACAATACTATCTGTGTTTAAGAGTTTCACCTCACACAAGCATGAAGCTGTTGCAGAGCTGTAGCACTCCTTATGACAGCTGCATCTGAAATGCACAACAGTGCATTACCACAGTTTCAACCAAAAAAACAGTTAGACCCTATTACAGTTACAGCACCGTACAAATTGAATAGATGCTTACAATGCAGCTTTATTTATTTATTTTTTGGCTACATTATATTGACTCTTTTGTAAATTTTCCCAATCTGTACAGCTGACTTTTTAATGTTTTTTGTTTTTTTTCTGTGTCTACAGTATCTGTATGGTCCATTTGCCTTTTTTATATCCAGATGACAAGGCCATAATAGTTCCCATGACAGGCCGTGATGCTTTTTCCATTTACCAAATGGTATTTGAAAACCTAAAGGTTTATGTGACAGTTTTTGACTAAATCTCACAAGATCGACTGTAATGTTCTACAAGGGCAGAGTTAAAAATGGCAGATAATTTTCCTTTAAGCCACCCACCATTTAGACCCAGCAGGTGGTGCAAGTGGAGGTTTATTTTTATTTTTTTTGATACCTTGAAACAACCCGGAACAGACATCAAGCTGTTTTAAAGAGCACTAGAGACTTCCACCTTGCTCTTTCTCCCGTGTATATCCCATCTCTCAGTCTGTTAACACTCTAGATAGATGTGGATAGAGTATTGATTTTACAAAATAATGTATCTTAATCTTGTTATTATACTTAGTATGAGGTTGTAATCTGGCAAAATCACAACAATGTTTCAATGATATTTTACATTCTGACAATATGACTGTCAGCATTTACATGCTGCAGAACTGCATTTCTGTCAGCAGTGCATGTATTTCTGTCCGTTTTTATCGCTGCGTCTGTGACGGTGGGATCAGTGATAATCTCTGAGGTGACCCACTGACACTTGCCCGGGAATAACCCCACATGCACACATATACTCTAATGCAGACAGCTGCATGCAGCTGGCCTCTTTAGCACCCAGATGTTCCGATGGGATTAAATGTAATGTAACTATAAAGTTGTTCCATTTAGCAAGAATATTGCTGTATTACTTGCCTCTCTTATTTGTCTACTTGTTGACTTTACAGTGGAAGATTTGTATCCTACCAAGTGGAGTCACTAGAAAAGTAAGGATGTTCTTCAGAAAGCTAAAGGAACATTTCATTATAGTGTTGGTCTTATCGGTCCATGCTGGTATCAGGTTAGGTTAATAGATTATGCAAACAAAGGTCCTTGCAAAGAACAAGCTTTTGTACTGTCTGGGTTTGTGTGGCTGTGGCTAAAAACAGTGGGAGACTAAGAGGCTTTGTGATCCTCTGAGCTACACTGAATGAGTGAGATAGTGAGAAAAGGACCAAATAAGAAAAGAAAAAGAGTTCACACACAGCAGAAAAAAGTTAAATAAATGTAGAAAATTGGCAAAACTGTTTCAAAAACTAAGAACAAAGAAAAGATATTTTGAATTATTTTTTAAAGAGAAAGAGGATGCAGTGGAGGCGGAGAGGAAGAGCTTGGTAGATTAAACTGGGTTAGAGGGGATTAGTGTCAGGTTTGGTTTGGTTGTAAACTCACATCCATGTCAGTCACTTTTGGCTGTGACTGACATGCTCACACTGCTGATTCACTCCATCTCAGAGATCAATCTCTAAATCAACACACCCAGGAACACTGGAGCACAGGAAGATAAGGTACATTGATTTTAATGCTGTTTCCGTGAGTTGACTGGATTTAAATGCATTTGTTTGTGATTAAAAACTGAAGAAAAAACAGGTTGAACTGACTGACCACAGATGTATTTCCTGGCGCTGTGGGTTGAACATGAACACGGTTCTTTTTGATTGTTTGTTCAAATATATTCATGTCTTTATTGCCTTTTTAATTATAGGAAATGTGGCTGCATTGTTTTATTAAATTATTTTTATTCAATAGAATGTTAAACTAATGGATTGCTTAGTGACAGAAAATTATAACTGGATTAGTTCAATTATAAAGACATGTCAAAATTCACAGTTATTCCAGTTTTGTATGAAATCATATACATGTAAGGAAATGCAGTTTGTAAAAACTACTGATTAAATCCTTTTAAATGAAGCCCTGTTGATTGCACCGGGTCAACAATTTAGCAACCACACCTCCTTTAGTGTTAATGCAGGAACGATAGGGGATTAGGGAGGGGGATCAGGAATATATAGAATAAGCCACTGAACATTGGTAAAGCAATTAAGTTCTAACCTTACTGCCATTTCTATCAAACTTTTTTTTTTTTTCCTTTGTTGTCGTTGTTTTGGGGGTTTTTTTAGGGCTAGATTTGTGGAAAGCTTTCTTTTTATTTTCAAGTGTGTCAAATTATTTTATTTATTTATTGTCTAAATTTTCGTTAAATATTTAATATTGATGATAAAATCAGAGTGCTTTGACTAAAAATGGTCATGGAATGTTAAACTAGTGGGAATAAAGCATCAAAAATATGTTGGTGTTTTTTGTTTTTTTTCTTTTGGTTGGATTTTAGTGTAATAAATACTCTATGTCAGAACCGTACAGATTCTCACCGTGTCATATTTAGTAGGAGGTTTTAATGATTTCTTAGAACTCTTCTATTTTGGTTTCCTATGACTTTAAAATAAATAACATTAATAGTTTTCCTTAAAATTAGTTTTTAGCAACAGTGGAGAAGAAAACTCCTTTAATAGATAATGTAGATGCTATTTAACAGAATTGGTGAAATGTAATTAAATCAGTTTTTCAGCAGTTTTTTTCCATAAATAATGTAGTTTATACTTTTTAACTGTACTGAGCTCAGGACCCCTCCATAAACTGAATATTAGCTCTTTTTAACCATTACTAAGAGCCATGTCACACCTTGCCAAGTTATCCATTTCTATGTATTTTTTCAATGTACATAGTGTAATCATAACGAGTCCAGAACATATGTCCAATGACAATCTAACTTATGCATAACGCACGGCAGCGTAATGCCCATGAAATGTCACAAGCCAGTGTCCTGGGGGGGGCAGCAATGCGCCCGGAGGTGCCCGGCCTGCATAAAAAGATGTCTTTGATCGCGGTATTAACCCAGCCCCTAAAAAGAAAAAAAATAAAGAATGAAGGTTTGCAGTTGCAGCAGATTCAGTGTCATGTCTGCTAGGAAGTTTGTTGGTCATAGCCATGGGCGTGAACGCAGGGAGGATCCATCACACTCACCTTCACACCTAACCTATGATAGGGATGAAGTCTGGAGGAGAACTGACGGTTTCCTCCTGCGACCCCACTTTTATACCAAAACGCTGCCAATACGCCATTACACAATAGCTATAAGTGAGAAACAGGTTCAGCGGTCGTCTGGAACACGTCAAATATGTTGATATGATTTGGAGATAAGTTCTTGATAAGTTCTTGATAAGTTATACACAAGTAAATCATAGGGTTTTGGATAAGCTAGACACCACGACATATGAGTAACTTAAACTTAACGTATGTCACCGATCAGATAATTTTATCTGTAACTTATGGCCCACGTATGAGCATACGCTGGCATACTTCGGGATTTCTCAAAGAACTTGTTGTATGTCTACGTGTTTCAACGTACTTCAGCATACAACAGCGTGCTGTTTTACAAAGCTTACACATAACTTATCCAACATATGACAGCGTTTTATGCAAGATTTTTTGTGTGGAATATGCTGTTTAAATCGTCAAGGTGTGAGAGATCCTTAAACAAGATGTGTTTTTATGTATGTGATCATCCTGCTTGAAACAGCATATTTTCCTATTTCAAATAATCAAGCATGATAGAAGATAAAGTTAAAAAATGTAGCACCATTCCTTCATTATTACTTGTGTTATATACTGTCTATTAAATCAGCTCTATCACTACCACCATCAAGTTTGTTCCTAAGTTGGAAAATCTTTCCATGACTCCTCCAGACATTTCTGTGGTCCAATAGCTTAATCTTTGTCACTGCTAGCTATTAGTTTCTTATAATTGAAAACCATACTACCATTTCTTGATCAATTTCTATTCTGCTCTTTTCAAATGTACAGCAATCATACTTTTTGGATTTTTGAACCTGTCACAGACGGTTAAGTTACCTTTATTTTCTATATTAATTGTACTATTATTGACAGGTGTGACAATCTCTAAAGGATAGTATTGCGTACAAAAAATTATCTGAAATCAGTGTGAGGAAAAGGAGTTTCCTATATTTACAAGGGGAGTTTTGTTAAATTTGTTTCACACCTTATATATTTTTATCAAACCACTGCATACCACAAAAACAACTGACTGGCTTAGGTAATGAAAAAACAGGCAAATGAGGAGACACAGGTGATTACAATCTGTTAAATAACAGAAGGCTCTGGCTCAGACAGAAATTATTAAACATGAATAAATCAGGAAAAATGAAAGAATGTAACTGAGAGATTCAATCCAATGATATAAATATCATGACCAATGAAAGTAAAGACAAAACCAACTAAAGAAAAAATATGCAAGAGACATTAACTAGAGAATATCGGGCAAAAGGTTAACAAAGCTAACTAGTATGGTAAACCCAAAACAGCAAAACTATATCAAACCATAAAAAAACAAAAACATGATGCAACCTGCAGGACCTAAAAAGCATATCCGTATTTTTAAAAGCTATTTGGCTGTTGTGCAGACAGTGGTTATACTGAAGGTATTCATATTAACAGAGAGTCTTAAAGTGGTTAGCATTGAGGCCAGCAGCTGCAGTCAGTCTGCCCACCTTAATTTGATCAGGGGAAAGCAGCTGCTTTAGACTATTACTTAAAGCTTAGACGGGCCATCTGTCAGCAACTTCAAACCAACACCGATATTAAAACCAAGGAGCAGGATGTCATCAATAGATTATTTTTGTGTAGGACTGCTGTACCATCTTGTAGTGATTCACATCAATCTCATGACCTTACAAATAAGCCCTGACAGCATTTCTAAAACCATATTTAGTTCCCAGAACTTTAAACAACACTGTGGCTTCTTTTGGCTCCAATTTAACCGAGTAAGAAGGAATGCATAACTATAAACTACATTTGGAGGTATTGAAAAAGTTGTAAGCCATATGACATATGGCATATGAGGTATGACATATGCAACTTGCTCTACTGCATTTCATGATAATGTTTGGCAAATGTTATGTGATTTCTTTACAGGTTAAATACAGATTCCTTTCTCTACGGTGTTTCTAGATGACAACAATGAGACAATCTATGGAAGATGGTGAGAAAACAAAGAAACTATGAGCTACAAACAAACATCTTTTCAAAGCTGCCTTTTAAACTATGCTCTGCTAATGCTTTGTCTTCTGTGTATATACTCACACACGTACACCCATTCACTCCTAAAAAACAACCAAACTTTCTCATTCACACTACTATGATCTCAGTGTATAATAAAAACATTTCAAAACTCTTACAAACATGATGTAACTCTCTAACATTCATCAACCTCTCACACATACCAATAAACCTATATATACACCAACACAATCATATACAGATATATCCAGACATATCAGATTATCGTACACATACTATTAAATGCTCTAACATATATTATGAAACTCTTACACTTAAGAACAAACTCCTAAAACCACCATTCAACACTCCTAGATATAACATAAAACACTTAATATTCAGACATGTACATTTTTTTTCAGCAAAGGAACATTTTAATTATTAGTTTACATTAAAAAAAAAAACATTTCAACAACAAAAAGTTGAATACATTGATAAATGCTGCTCATTTGAATCTGACTACAATTTGATTTTAAAAAATGACTTTCAGCTTGATTGTTTTATGGTCTGTAAGAGAGATTTTTATGGTATATGTGAGAGAGTGTGAGGATTTATCTAAGATTTGTTAGTATAAAGTTTGTTGGTATACATGAGAGTTTATTGACATGTGAAGGAATCTGATGTTTATATTAGATAGTTTGATGTAATATATGAGAGTTTAATGGTATGTGTGAAATAACCTTTTGTCTAAGTTAGTTTGATAACAGATGTAAGAGAGTTTGCTGTTAAGTAAGAAAGAGTTTCATTGTACGTGTTTGAGAGTTTGATGTTTAAAAAACTTTCATAGTGTATGAACATGAGAGTTTGGAAATATTCAATTGGGACACTGAGAATATAGGTGTTCTGATATGGTTTGGTTGCTTTATACAACTTAATAGCTGTGTTTATAACAAAGTTTATGCAAGGATGTATCATTTTTCATAAATTTTGTCTCATGGTGCTCTTTTACACATGTATGTGTAGAAGAGCTGATATAGATGCCGCTTTCCTTCGCTTTAGTCACTATTCATATCTCAGTTGTTTCACTTTGGTGATAGACTCAGGTCATAGTTTAAAAAGGCAGCTTTGAAAATATGTATTAATAAGTGGCAGCTGGTGCCATTTACTATTTTCCCCTTTTGAAACAATAAAAAAGACTTCCCTTTGAACAAATCAAATTGGATCCTCCAACTTTTATTCCACTTACCACACAGATTTATATTGGGATTTAGGTCTAGGAACATTGCAACAAAAGGAGGTTCAATTTTTTCTCCAGTGACTCTTTTCTATGTTATTTTGGCCATCTGTTTTGAATTGTCACTGTGCTGTAAGACCTTTGATTTTTCTTATAGGCTTCAGGTTTTTACATAAAAATCTCCTGATACGTCTACGAGCTCCTGATGCCATTAGTTGCAACAAGATTCCAAAGACCTTTAGAGTAGAAACAGTGGGATAACACAGCATCTGTTGGATAACTATGTGTTTTACATATTTATCCATCATGCGTACACACCTATTTCTGTGTATGCTGTTTTGTTTCCTACAGCCTAATAGTTTGATGTCCGATTATATGTCTGCATTTATATTTCTGATTCAGTTACAAATTTCTTAGGCAAGCTGTAATTTATCAGACAGCAAAAATAAGGCTGTGGTTGAGAAACGTCCCTTCTCTTAATTTGGAAAGCTGAAATAGCATTCAGTTGTGATATGATGTCAGTTGTGATATGAAGGTCTCTGTGTTTCTGCGTTTGCAGGAGTCAGTGAGGTATTATCGAGTGTTGTGGAGGATGTTGGTGAAGCTGTCAGTAGAAACATTAGTGGTGCTCAGCTTCTTCATGAACTACTGAGTGCTCCATGGCTACGCGCCTTACTAAAGGTATTTCATAAATTTTTTGTTGATGCAATGCATTGGACCCGGTATATATAGCTGGGGATTGATTAAACAATTGTTTGTGTTGCCTTTTTAGATTTATGAGTGCCTGTTGCAGTTCCAGAGATTTACTCCAAGTCCACTTCTTCCATGTGCCTCTGGACTCGTACAAGAGGTGAATAGACAAATCTAGATACATCAATCATACCTAGTTTTTAATCTGGACTTATTTTCTTTTACAATGTTAAATTTCTTGTTTTGTCGTTTTTCAGGCATTATCATATTTCATCAGGCTAAGGTTTTGAATGCATCTTTTAAAAGAGATGAATAAATAACAATTTTGAAAATTGTTGAATTTTTGACAAATTGTTCAATAAACAACAGTTTGAATAAACAAATTGTTGTTTATTAATCATCTCTGCTCCTCCCATGTCTTTACATTTTCTTTTTAGCACCTTTGCTAACTTAGCCAACTCCTATTCTTTCGTTCTTTTCTATGAGCTCAGAATTCTAACAAAAGAGCACCATAATTAATACCAAACGGTCAACTTTATTTAAAATTTAAGCACATGAACTACTCTTCACCAAGATTTAAGTTAGGAATATATCATAAGGTGTACACATTGGTGTATAAAATCTTTAGGCTTTGCAAAACGTTATTTTGAGGTGGAATGCAGCTGACTTTTTCTCTTTGTTACAACAGTATTTTTTTCCTAATAATGAGCAGTATGTGTGTTTGCCTAGAGGTGGAAATTTCATAAGGAAATCAGTTTTTGGTACAATATTATGTTTCATAGGATAATTCAAACAACCAGAAAGTGTAATGCTACGTTTGCAATGCGATTTGAACAGCAAAAAAGTACCTGCAGCTTCCTTTTTGATGCTTGTACATTAAGACCAGGTGTGTACAGATGCATCTGATGTTTCCGCTGCTCCTGTGTTGAATGGCAGAGAGCAGCTTTGGAATATTTGCTGTGATCGGTGGGTGAAATTTGGTTTTAATATTTTTAATTGAGAAAGTACACCTCTACACATTGTCTGTGCAGTTAGTTCATTAAGTTCACAATCCTGCCTTAAAATATTATTTCCGTCTCGGACGTGAGCAGACCCTACATACTGACGGTGTGCTGTCTCTAGGAATCCCCAGCAGCAGCTGCCTCAGGCCCTTTTACCCTTTGGTTTTTTACTCCTACTATTCGTAGTGGCTGAAAGTAAATGTTAGCCTTTTTCAGATATGTGGTGCTAACTACAGGCACTAGAACAATAGAAGCGAACATAGTTTGCCGGCAGATTTTTCAACATTGTAAGGTAATTTAGGCAGTAAACAATTTTAATGGAGTGATTACAGCGATCTGCATCAGCAGTGCTGTGTCTGTCTCCCTGCCAGCTACCAAATCAGCTTCATTGATTGGTTGATGTGATTGATTGCTTTTTATACACCTGTAGATCCTCTCCTACTCGTGTGTCAGTTTACATCGGTGGCAGACTTTGAAGTGTGTGGTATAATAATATGCCTTATTACAGTGTAATTTTAATAACCACATAAAGAGCCATTGCACTCTAATATGCTAGCAGAAATCCTACCAACATCATCAAAGCTTTGGCAACATCCTTATGCATAATGCTTTGAGAAGTTGTTAATAAGCAGAGAGTAGTAGTGGGTATTCACAACCAATCAAGAAATTCACAAAGGTTGATTTTGGAAAATCTTTAGATTTGTAGATGATTTGCTTGTGTACATAGAACCTGGAGTAAATTTTTGTTCCTGTTATTTTATGTTGTAAACCTTGTAAGGCCATTAACGTCATTGAGGTGTCTAGAAATGTTAATGCTTTTTTATTATGTTTATGTTTTATTTTTTGAGATTTTCAACTTATGTGTTTCACACTATGTCTAAAATTTAGAAAAACTAGGTGAACCCAAGCGGCCCCATTAGTATTGGCTATGCAAAGAAAAATAATTACACATGAAATTACATGAAGTATTAATAGACTTTTGATGTTTTCATGTTTAATTGCAAAGCATAATCCCAGAGCATGTGAAGTGGTTAGAAAAAATTATAGTTTTTAAAACGTTTACAACAGAAATCTGGTTGATTCCTCCTAAATTCAGGGAAAACAATTATTTTCACAACTCATTTATTAAGAAAGTTGAGTCCTAGAGCATGGAGTTTAGGCTTAGCATAAATCCATATTCTGTGAAGGGCTCAAAGCATGAAAAACAAGAGGCGCAAGAGAGATTTTAGGGATTAATTTAGGAAGAAATTTAATGAAGGATCAGGTTTCAGAGCAATATCCTGCCTTGTTCTGCCTTACTAATGGGGTATTGCTACATCCATTCTGCTAAAATGGTGAATATAAGCCCATCTGCACACCCAGCATGGCTGTCTACTAATACAGAAAGACTGAACAGCAATTATCAAAAAGGCAATCAACAGGCCACTTTTAAACCTGGAAAAGTTGCAGAGATCTAGAGCTAAGGTTTAAGTGTTTTGAAAGGAAAGCTCTTAGTCTTTGCACTTAAAAAGTCATGCTTTTATTAAAAAGATGAACACTATGGTCTAAAGAAAGCAAGACAAGGAGGATTTGTGGTTCTTAAAGGAAAGTAGGGGAAACAGTAAACATCTGGATGGAGGTCAAGATCTGACTTTTTTTAACGATATGCAACATGTAAGGGTAGATGTAGATTAAGATTAATCAAAACTTAAAACACAGTGAATATTGAAAGAAGGGCAACACAGAGAGACAGAGACACAGAGGACAAACAACCGTTCTCACACACACTAACACCTAAGGAGAATTTAGAGAAGCCCATTAAGCTAACAGTCATGTTTTTGGACTGTGGGGGGAAGCTGGGGTACCCGGAGAGAACCCATGCATCCACAGGGAGAAAATGCAAACTCCATGCAGAAAGACCACGACCCGGGAATTGAACCCAGAACCTTCTTGCTGCAAGGCACCAGCGCTACCCATTGATCGACTGAGCAGCACCCAAATGTTATCCTTTCCTTTCAATCCATAATTATGTGTTGGTCTGTTGCCCAAAATCGTATTAAGCACTCTAAAATGTTGGGTCGTATTCAGCAAATGCAACCAGTTTCATTTGTTAAGTATACGTTTCTAAGGGAATTGTATTATTTGAAATTCCACCTATGGTTAATAATCTTTCTTGTTTTACTTATTTTTCAGATCATGGTAATTATACAAAGAGCTAATCGTCCTTCACCTGATGCTCTTGAGCTCTTCAATCTCCTCAGCTCACCACATATCCAGGTTTGACCTTTGATTGAACCAAAACATCCATCTAAAGCATTTTCAATGTTGATTTAACACCTTTGGGTGGTATTTGTGTCCACTAGGCCCTAATATCATCTCACGACAGTGTGGCACAGTGTGACTATTTACCCATCCTTCCTCCTCTTCCTGATGAATTACCCGAGGATGAGGAGGCCATGAGGATTGTTTGTCTTGTGAAGAACAACCAACCTTTGGTGAGATTTAAGTAACGTTTTTGTCAACTCTCCATTGAAGTTTAATGATGGCCTAAATAAACCTATAATCTTTGTGTAATTTCTATTATTTGATGTATCTAATTGCAAATATTTAATTATTTTATCCATTGAATCAATTAACATTCACTCAAACCAATCTCAGTTTATGATTAATATTTGATACTGTACTAAAGTAGTTTGCAGTTAAACTCTAGATCAATTAATACTCAGACTTTGAGTTTGACAGGGATTTCTTTAAACCTTAAAAAACAGAGTTTCTTGTTCATCCTCCAAGACTGGAAAGAGTTGCAGAAATGTAGAAGATGGGGTCGGAGTGATCCGCAGTCGTTGGAGCAGCCTCCGCCGACTCACACTGGAGCGCCTCATTCCTGCAAGAAGGGCGTGCTCAGGGGAGGAGTTCAGAAGGGCAGAGAGTGAGGCCAGGCCTCTGCCCCCTCTTGGAAATCTGACCTGCCAATCTCTTCCTGGTTACATGTTGACACCAACATATTGTTTATGTCCACATAAAGCAGAACTTCCAAAGCAAGTGCTCCATCACTCAGCTCCGTCTGTTTTTAACTCAGGCAAGTGTTCCGGTAAGACAAGGATGAGTTGAACCGATCATTCATTTGTCTGTGATCAACCTCCATCTTCAGCCGCAATGATGGAGAATTCTGAGGAATCAGCCCATCATTAATCATGCTGATCATCATTATGTTCATCAAACCCCATCAGCATTAAATGTTCCTATTGTGAAGACATCGTTATTGATTTTTCCATGGACAGGCATATTCTTTGTTCCTTTTTTGCTACCATGTAAACCTGAGGGGGTGGGTCTCATGGTTCCATTTATGGTGTGGGGTCCCGTGGTTCCATTTCTTTGGGGGGTCTCATGGTTCCATTTCTGGTGTGGGGTCCCGTGGTTCCATTTCTTTGGGGGGTCTCATGGTTCCATTTCTTTGGGGGGTCCCGGGGTTCCATTTCTTTGTGGGGTCTCATAGTTCCATTTCTTTGGGGGGTCCCGGGGTTCCATTTCTTTGTGGGGTCTCATGGTTCCATTTCTTTGGGGGTTCCCATGGTTCCATTTATTTGGGGGTGCCATGGTTTCATTTCTGTGGGGGGTCCCATGGTTACATTTCTGTGAGCTTCGAACATAATTTGCATTCTTGTACTTTGTAGATGTCTACAGCTTTTCTTCTTCTGCTGTCCCCCACTGGTTTGTTTCAGAGAGACCCAAAACCAACAAAGAAGATGATGCTTCAACTGACAGGAGCAGTGATGATTATTCTTACCCTCCCCCTCCAATCCTAGCCTACAGTGTCAGTCTTCCCAACTCTCCCCTCATGTACAAAAAGGCTGCTTCAGGAGGAGAACTCAGGAACATTCGTACTCCTGGTAGGACTTTTGTTGAAGTCCACACAGCACCAGCTATTCCTACAGCTCAGCTCTCTCATTGGCAGCAAGAAGTCCGCACTCTCCCTAATCCTACACACCGTCAACACAAACAGCCTTTAAAGCATTCAGTTACACTCAACTCTTCTGTCCTGCATCACAATCAACCACAACTGGAGCAAAAGCAGGAACAAAAACATGATCCACCGCCCAACCAAACCTGCTCCATGGAGGAGCTCAGGGCCACAGTTCAGACTGTGGCCAGCAGTATTGAACACAGTAGTCAGGATGTACGCCACCTAGGACAAAAAATGGTGGCCGCCACAGAAATCATCACAGATCGTGTGGAGGAGAATGCCCAGGCCCTTAACCTTCTTGCTGAAGTGGTGGATAAGCTCCAAGGGATCATTGAGGCCAGAAACCAGCAAGAAGGATCCACTCGGTCTAACCGTCGCCCTTCACCACCTCCAAGAGTCTCTTCTTTATCTCCAAAAGGGATCTGCAAACCTCCCACATTGTACCCACAGCCCGCTTTGCTCTCCTCCTCTTCCTCCAGCTCCTCCTCTTCTCCATCCACCAGTTCCTGTGTGGATGGTTTTATGGAATACCAAAGTCCAAAAAGGCAAAACATAAGCAGCAAGCAAGCAGATTATAGGGACAACAATGGACAGGTTCTATTCAACAACGGACCTTTAACACAAGCTCAACAGGAAGGCAATCAAAGCCGTAATATCACAGGCTGGTTAACAATGAACAAGAAAAAGAAGAAAATTAAGCAGCCACAATAAAAGATTCTTGTTTGGAAGCTAGAAACACACTAAAACTTATCTAGCCATTCTTTTTACAGGCCTTTTTTAGACAGATTTTCTAAGATGAACAAACTAACATGTATCTTTTGTGATCACAAACTCAGAGTTTTTTTTTTTTTCTGAATCATCTGAAGAATGCTAAAGGAAAATAAATCAAAGGTACAAAGACTTTGTATTTTCTTCATGGGAATTTAGAGTAAGTGTACTGTTACTATGATTATCATTATAAGTTTCCCATTTAAACCTTTAAAACTCTGGTTAGACTTCATTTTTTTATTTTTACTTCTACTATGATTGCAGCCTCATACACTTAACCCTGCAGCTAGCTTTGAAAATTTGCTTGAGCATTTGTCTTATTGACACAAAATGTTTCTGACCACTTCTCTATGTTAAATATTTTCAGCTCTGCCTCCTTTCTGAGAAAATAACTGCTTTGTTTTTTTTTTTTTGTTTTTTTTTTTTGGATGGCTGGCAAATTTGTTTTATTAAGTGTGTCTTTTGTCCCATAAAACTAATGAACTTCTAGTGTTTTTACCTTTATTGTACTGCAAAATACTGTATTGTAGGATTGAAAACCATTACAGGTGGTTAATTTTTAATCTAGGGGGCGACAATAAGGAGGGATGAGGAGACAGGAGACATCTACATTGCCAGAGTAATTCATGGAGGACTGGCAGACCGCAGTGGTGAGATAAAATTTATCCCAGCTGTCTTAGAAAGGCCTTAATAATGAATCTGAATTAAACAAAATATAGTATGGATTACCGTAGATTTCTGTCTCAGGACTCCTTCATCCTGGTGATCTGTTAGTGGAGGTGAACGGCAACTCAGTATTGGGGCTGGAGCCAGAAAAGGTCATTCAGATACTGGTAGGTTTACAGGATAAAGGCCTATTTATGGTTTAAGTCAATCAGTATCAACTGGAACTAAATTATCTTTGTAATTGTCAGGTCCAACACCTAAAACAATGTAAAACAAGAGTCAGAATTATTTTTACTTACAAGGAGAGTAGGAAGAGACCATGCAGTTACAATCTCCACCCCACTCTGCCGGTCTTCAGCTTTCTCATCGCTATTTATTATGGTCAGGGTGACCCTAGTTACACAAGCTGAGGTTGCACTAAAGAAGAAGGGGAACAAAATGACCTTACTTTGAACCTCATCACATATGTCAAAACAAAGCATGTGGTTGATTTGCAGTTAAGTTTTTTCCAAGAATAGATATTTCAAGAGTGACTGGTTCCAGCTCGAAAGAAAGGGTCGTATTACCCGAAGAAAGAAAGACCTTTATCTGGAACGGTCTTTAGCAACAGTTAATAAGCAATGAATCACACATTAAACATCATAATAACAAACATTAAGTATCTTATAAATGATTCCAACAGTAGTTTTCAAAGCATCAAATGCACTTGATTAGCATGGATATCCTGTAGTCACACTGTTTCCTGATCACAGGGCACTTGATCGAAGATTCAAAATAAGGAGCTGTACATTACTTAGAAAAAAATCCAGATACAATTACCGTGAGTGTTGAATGATATAAGATAACAAGCACAAAGGATAGCAGATACAAATTCCCTTTGATCATCTCATTTTAACTAGTAAATTGCGTAAGGTAGACCTTATTTGGATATATATAGTATGCCTTGATATTTAAGTTAAAAACACATTTTGTAACAGATAACAATGAGGACCAAAAGTCTACAACAGAAGAATATTTAAATATTTATTGAAATGTGTGCTGCTAGATTGTCAGGCAGCCACCTGTAAAACAATCAGGACCCTTTGAAGGAAATAAATAGGTTAGTGGCTGGGGAGGGACTTGTTGACAAAATTTGGTAATGAAACCACTAACCTTCATAGGATCCGTGAAAGAGCAAGGATGCCAAATTTTGGCTCATTAATTTAGTGGGCTGGTGACAAGAGAATGATGTCACAGTGGGACTGCCAAACTGTGACAGATAATCCCCGGTCTGATGTTTGATTAAACACATCCATAAAATGAACAAAAATAAGTCAACTTTAAGGTTGACAAATCCAGTGGATTGACAGCATTCGGCGATCAGAAAGCTATAACTGGCTCAGAACCATGGAAGCAGAAACAGGTGACAGAATCTAAGGGTCAGGCTTGAACAGGTTGTAAGGGTAGAGAAACCACATCAAACACAGTGAGGCAGATTAAGCATGACAAATCCGGAGGTTAGGCAGGAAGTAGAAACAAGGTCAATGTCCAGAGATGAGAAGCCAGGAGAATATTTGAAAGGCGCAAAGAAAAACAGGGAAATCAAGGCAGAAATCAGATCGAAAATTGGCAAGAAAGAAACGCTTGACATTTGTTCTCTCTAGGCTTTCAGTAATCTGCCACTGTTTGCCAGCCAGAGGGCAGTATATAAAGCTAGGTAAACAAGTTGAGTGAATGAGGAGTGATTAGGGTGCAGGCAGGGAAGAATCTTAGATGCATCTGAAGTAGGCTATATAGTTCGAAATTATTTCAAACTAAACAACTTTCACTGGAAACTGTTTTTTCTGTGCTCACCCAGGCCAAAACTACGCCTATTGGAAAGAAGTTGCTAAATAATAACAATTAAAGATCCCCAGTTTAAGCGACAGTTTTAAGCAACCAGTCTTGGTAAAAATTTTTAAACAGTAGCTAAATTTTTTATTTGGTACTGTGATAAATAACATATGTTATTGATAATATTACATTGTGTTTAATGATAATCTGAAAGAATTATGTTTCTGTTGCTGGTCTGATGTTTCTGAGAAATTTTGCAATTGACATTGATTGTCTGTGTTTTCTCCCTGTCAGAACAGTTCGATTGGAACTATTCTCTTTAAAGTTATTCCAAGGTCCACTCAGGTCACCAGCAACCAAAAACCGGTAAGAAAACCCCTCTGCTGAAATACTAAGGCTAGTTTTTCGTGCAGACAGATTGAGAGTGGTAGCTTCATTAACCTTAACCATTGTGAATTCAGATCTGACCAGAGGTCATTATTCACAAGGGGATTTTTTTCAGTCTGTATTCTACCTAAGATTTTTTACTTCCTTGATTTAATTCATATAATCAGCTAAGATGATAAAACAGTCACAAGGCAATAATTCCCTTTGATTTAGATTGCTTAAATTGAAAGAAAATCTCTTAATCTTGCTCAAACTTAATTCTTCCCATCAAAATTCCTTTTTTTCTGAGTAAAGTTCGGTTCAACTAAATTCCCTTTTTCAGAATCCAGGTTGTAATTTCTTAATTTATCAACCTCCTACAGTGTTAGCTAATCTCCACTAAACACCTTGATTTATTGCTAGACATTGGATTGACATGGACCCAAAATATGTTGAGCGTTACTAAATTTGTTTATTGTTGTGAAAGTGTGCAATGAACATCTCCACTATAATATGATGAATATAGCTGGTTAGTTATTGGTGAAACGAAAAACACCACTTGTCCCTTTAAAGAAAGGTATACTTTATACGGTATAATCCTCTTCTGTCCCTGGCAATTTAAAATTGTCGGATATTTTTATTATATTTTGATTTTTATATCATGATATTTTGATGAGCATCACACTAAAGTCAAAATGACCAAAATCTCTTGCACTTTTTCATTATGCCTGATTACAATTTCAGTTTTCAGAGTCTTTTGTCAAAACAACATCTTCAGAAAAAATCTTATTGCCTCAGATTTAGGCAGAAACATATTGTCAAATTGAAATATTCATTAAATTAAATTCCATTATAATTTGACCAAAAATTGGAAAAAAGAGGAAAACTTAAAAAATTAAAAACTTGCTGACTGGAAAGGTTTCTTATGTGTAGATCTCTCTGATTTTATCGTTTTAAGGTAGATCATTGGAATCTAGTTTCTCATTCCAGTATCATTGATTCAACTGACCTTTGGAATTATACAGAACATGACCTCTGTTTCTTTTATAATAGTTTCTTATGGCAATTACTTTGCGTGATATATTTTCCTGAAATCATGTGTAGGAGGTGAACATCTAGTAATGTGCGGACCAGTAGTCTCTTGAGATAATGGGTTTAAAGTTAAAAACGGATTCTGTGTCATGTGTGTCTATAAAGCTTTAAGCCAATCAGGAAACAGTTGAGCCATCAAGCAGGAGGCTGAAAGGCAACAATGTGGAGCAGATCAGCAGCTAATCTCACCCTCCGGTTACTTTATTTATAAAAGTTAGTTTTTCTGCTTCAGGCTGCCACATAAAGCACTATTTTAATTTAGAAGCGACAAAATAATAAGCATGTAGTGAAGTACTTAAAATATGATAAGTAATATGTCACCAATATTTAAAAAGCAAATAAAAAGGGCTACACCTGTCCTGTAGTTATCTCGTAATTTCTTTTCCTCTTAATGTGAATCACAGCCTTAGTTACACCCAAGTTAATTCCAGCTCTTAAAATTAACTTTTTATATACATACATACATACATACATACATACATACATACATACATACATACATACATACATACATACATACATACATACATACATACATACATACATACATACATACATACATACATACATACATACATACATACTTACATACATACATACATACATACATACATACATACATACATACATACATACATACATACATACATACATACATATATACATACATACATACATACATACATACATACATACATACATACAGCCTTATGTAAAAACATTCATATTTTTATATAAGGCGGCATCTATCATTTCTTAAGTTGATTCTTTTAAAGCACCAGATTATATCTGAAGATAAAGTCTGCTAATGATAGGCCATGTTTTGATAGAAAAGAAAGATCTAAACCAAGCTTATTTTGGCACAGAGTTTGAGTTTGTTATTTCATTACCATGTTCTTTTATTTTCTGTCTGCTATAATAGAAAAATATAAAAGTTTATCTTTAAGTATATCAATCTCTACCTCAGATTGAATCAAGGAAAACAGTATTCATAATCAGTGTTTATTTTTGTTTTTTTCTTACAACTTTATTTAATTCCTTATTGTGGACATCAGAAAGATAGAAGCAGTTATATTTGTCTATCTTGATCTGTTTTTTAGGTGTATATGAGGGCCATGGTGGACTACTACCCCCTGCAGGACTCCTCTATACCATGTCCAGATGCAGGAATGGCTTTCAGCAGAGGGGAGCTGCTGGAGGTGGTTGACCAATCAGATGCACAGTGGTGGCAGGCCAGAAAGGTTCCCTGTGGTGCTTCCTTTGCTGGTCTAATTCCTTCTGCCAGCACCCTGAGGAGGTGACACACACACACCTGCTAGCAGCTCAGTCTGCCACCAGAGGGAGCAATTGTTTCTCCAATTGTTTTAAGTAGCTGATAGCAAAAAAATTTGATATTCCATTTTATTGACTAATATGACTAATTGGCTATAAATGAGTGATTTGTACTTGTTGAGTATTTTATAATAGCCGTGTTGTTACAACTCTGGTTGTAATTATCTACTAGTATATCTCTATTTTCAACTTCACAGTAAACAGAGGGAGCAGTGGTGGTGCCATCCTTCCCAGGTTCACACCTGCATCAGGCCTTGTGAGAACATTCACTATTTCTGAATTTATGTTATATACATCCATACTGTACATTTCAGGCATCCATTCAGTCTCTTTAGACCAATTTTAATCAACTATTCTCAAATGTGCGTTATCATGAGGCAACGATACACATTTTCATCTAATAGACAGGATAAACTGCTTAAATACTAAATATGAACTGCATGTTCAGGTGGAAAAATCTATCATTTACAGAAATTATCTTTGTCCAGCATCCTTGGTAAAAAAATATATATATTATATAATATATAATATATATTTATTTTGATGCCACCTTAACAGGTTTTGTATAGTTAGTTCATAGCTCCTGCAGACAGTGCACATGTTCATAAATTCCCATGGAAAAGAATTACAATATTGGTCCCTCAAAACAAGTAAAAAATTATCAAATTAATCCAGGATGCAGGGCCCGTTATTAAGTGGACAGAGAAATTAGGTATATCCCTTTAATCAACATATATACTGCTTACCTTCTTTCTGTGAAATATGTTTCTAGTCCTTTTCATAGGAGTAAAGCTAAACTTCTATAAACCTTTATTTAGCATGTAGTATTCGAATTATAATGAACAGTGTTCTAGTCAGAAAAAGTCTTTAAGTGTTCATGCATATTTCTACCTGTGTTGCATTTATGGAGAATCGCTTTCAACAGCTGTTTGTTTCCTTCCTGCTTCCTGAAGACAGCGTGGCTGATAATGGTGAGTGTTAGCGCTGATAGTGCAAATGCTCACATTTTTAGCATTTACAAGAACCACTGTGCAGCGTTTAAGATATACCAGCGATGGACAAAAGCAGCTGCAAATGTTTTAAACCTTTAAATGTTCCTTGGGTAGATGAAAATGCTTTTTTTATCATCATCTAAAACGGGGGGAAGTGTTGGCCAAGTGGTTAGAGCAGTGTGCTTGTGCTCTGAGAAGGTTGCAAGTATACTGTTCGATTCCCACAGCCTGCACTCAGGCTCTCTTAGCAAACCCTTAACTCCACACTGCTCCCCAGCCGCCACACAATGGCAGCCCACTGGTCCCCAAGGAGATGGATTAAATGCAGAGATACATTTCTCCAGTGTGAGATCAACAAAGTTCAATTAAACAGAGTTTCCCAACCTTTTTTGACTTGTGTACCCCTTTGGGCATTTTGCCTTACCATAAGTTCCCCTCTCAGTCAAAGGTATTGATAATTGTCTCAAAGTGGAATGTATAATAACCGAAATAAAGACTATTTTACTTAATCTTTTAATATGAGCATTTAATTTTTTTTATAATCTAATGCTTTACATTTCAAATATAAAAGAAAAACATAGATATGTTGCCTGGAAGTTAGTAAGGAATCAAAATAAATAACCTGAGCTGCTTTGATGAGCTCCGATAGCTCAGTGTGAAAAACAGTTGATAGCAGGCTGTGCTCTACATCCAGTCTGTTCCTCTGCTTGGTTTGGATGTGTGTCACAGCTGAAGGTGAACTTATTTTACTACCTAAGAAATAAAATATTTTTATGTACCCCTGGCAATGCACTCGCGGACCACTAGAGCTATTTGTACCCCCAGTTGGGAAACACTGATCTAAACAACTATTCATTGTAGATCTCCTCCTTTTAGCGATATGGAAAGCTGAGGTTGAAGTAAAGCTGTCTTTGCATTATTTTAAAACAACCAACATGGCGTAATTTTTGAAATTCACATGCATTGATTGCCTAGGCTAAGAGAAATTAATGATTACAGTTTAATCTGGTCAAAGTGCCCAGTGGGTTTAATAGTAAAGCAGCCTCACACTGTCAGTGTGCCCCAGGACAGCGGTGGCTACAATGTAGCTCACCACCATCAGTGCATATATGGCTGAATGTAATGTGAAGAACTTTGGGGACCATTTCTAGAGTACAATACAAGTAGAAGCCATTTATCACATTTATTTACCTTTGTGTGACTCACATTAAACATTTCCTGTTTTGTTTGGTTCTTTACAATTTGTTATTTTGACAAAATAATGAGGAAAAAACATAGGGTTTTAATAGATTTCTTGGAAATTTCCTAAAATTCAGACATTTTCAATTTTTTCATTGTTATTTTATAGAAATGTCTAATAAACTTTGTAACTTAAGTCAGATTGATAGAACGTTTGGTTCAGAATTGGTCAATCAGAGCCCTGTATGCTGTCAATCAACAATCAATTTGCTTTCCTTAAGCCGTTTAGTTATTAATGCAATTCAGTTTCTTTATATAGCACCAATTCACAAAACTTCTCATCTCAAGGTATTTAGCAGAAAAAAATCAATCAAATCATGCAGTCAGAAAACAGCTGATTGCATCTTGTCATTGATTTTGCAGGATTCCCTCCTCCTGGATGCAAAGAAAGTAGATATTTGCTTGCTTTGTGTTGCTGCGTTGTGTTGCAATCCCTCAAACCAAGCATGCATAGAGTGACAGTGGAGGGGAAAAATTCCCTTATAAAAAGAAGAATCCTCCAGCAGAACCAGACTCTGTCTGAGCGGCCTTATGTTGAGGCCAGAATTAATTCAGTTATTAATTATTGTTTAATTGTAATCAATTGGTATTTAATCTCCTGTTAAGGTTTTGGTCATGGACATTTGGCTCACTTATGCCTACATTTCTAGACATCTTCAGAACTTCTTTTGATTTTTACCAAGTATTTCCTCTTGATGCTGTCCATTTCACCATTATCAGTCTCTTTGTAATCCAATTACAGCCAAACACCTTATATTTTGGCTTCATTAGACCAGAGACACTTTTTCATAAAACTACTTTTCTTTTCCCAGAGAAATAAACAAACAAACTGTAATCCTGCTTTTTTTTATTTCCGTTGCAATATTGGCTTCTTTCTCCCTTGAGTTACCTTTAACAATATGGTTGAAGAAAATGACATTCTATCGTCAGCTAAATCTAAAATCTTTAAGAATATTTTGATTTTAGCCTATGCTTCATAAACGCCAAGATAGATATGTGGCGCAATACCCCATGCTGTTTATTTTGGGGTTTAGTATTGGGTAATATTACTGTCACTAAAAACCTATGCATTGCCCAAATTTATAAATGAAGGTTTAATGGTTTCATATTTGTATTTGTCCCTATTGTGAGCTCATACATAACATATCACATCAGATTTTTAATCTGCAAGCATACAAGTTTAGTATTTATGAAAACAAGCCCTCTAAGCTCTACAAAAATGCAAGTACAAAATTAAAAAATTCTGAGAACAAATCAGAAATTGAATGGTACAAATCACAATTTTCCAGCACAAATCTAGAACCCCTAATGAAGCTGTTACTTTCTTTACCAGTTGGTGGCTCTAATGCAGATGAAAGTGATTCACTTACTGCCTCTAAATGAGAAGAAGAGAAAAAAGTAACCATTTAATGAATTTTTATTCTGTGCATGCTCTGAAAGCAACATTTAACAAAGATATAAAAGAAGATCATTGTTTGTTTTATCGTCCTCCTCCTTTCGTTAGCAAACAATCTATAGTTGCAACACTGCCACCAACTGGTAAGGAGTGTAACAGATTTATTTAGGTTGTAGAGTTTGTTTTTTTATTTTGCAAAGTTGCAGCTTTGTTACTTGTACTAATAATTAAAAAACTAGTGTTCTCCCAGATGAAGCATCTGATGCTACGTGAGTCTAGAAGAAGCATACCAATCTTCAATATAATTACATTCATTGACTGCATTTACACATTCAGACACCTATGCTTACATTTTACTGACAACTATCTTACCTCATAATGCAGTGGCTTAAATAGATGAATCTTGTGCCTTTAGCTTTGTGGAAATTGGCTATAAGATAAACCAGTCTTCTCATAATTTACAATTCTCTTCCTGATACCTTTTCTCATTTTTTTTGACTGTCCATGTTTTAAGAGACAGAAAAGGGCAGAGGCGTTTCTCCATTTAACCAAATTATTTAATTCAACCTCACAGAAGCTTAAAAAGCAATAAGTGGTTAATAAGAACCATAATTCTAATAAATCCAAAGAGAGTTTTGTATTATTCCTTGTCATGTTATTATACCATTTATAACCCAAAACCAAATTTTCTTTTTAGTAGAGCTAAAAAGGAAACATTTAGTCTGATTTATATGAAACCTGTTAGATCTCTTTTTAAAAAGCAATTTCTGGTGAAGTGCTGCCATTATGTCCGTGTTTTTTGTTACTGTGATATCTTCATCAGTGTGCTATGCTGACATCTTGAAGCGTGGCTTAAAGGAAACAAAGTTTAACTGTTATTTTCTGCCTGTAGAGGAGGATCTAACACAAGCTGATGGCAAGAGGATCCAAACTGGTAATGGCACCATTTGAAAACATGAGACGTTTGAAAGACTGAAGTTTGGCTCGGATTTAAAAAAGGCGTTTCTCTTTTTAACAGATTTGGAAAACAATAAAGAAATTAACTTTGGTGGGTAAGTTTGTCCAGACCAGAATGAGTTCATCTACTCCAGATATTTAAATATAATTTATATGACTCCTTAGAAGTCAGTTTTTTATTCATTATGTCATTCTATAGATAGAGTCTGTTCCATAGTTTATATAGATAATTAGAAAAATTATTCATAATTTATTGAAATTACTGAATAAGTAAAAAAGAAGGGAGCTGATGAAGATATTGTTTTCTATATATGGTGAAACCTAATAGGTTTGGTATTTCATTTATCCAGTTTTACCAAAAAAAAAGTTAAGATTTGTGTTTTTTTAATGTAATATCAATGTGCATCGCTGTCACTTCACTTACGGTATTTATTTATTTTTTTTACTTTGACTTTTGATGTTTTCTGATTGAAAAACAAAAGTAAAAAAAAAAAGTCTTTGGTGGGAGAGTACAAAGTGAATGTTTCTTTCTCCAGATGAGGAGGACTCAGATATAACTGAGGGGATTTATCTTGGTAAGTCACCGGCTCCCTGATTTTTAACAGCACAGACTTGATCATTTGTTCATTAAAATGTTTATTCATTTGAACTGTTATATATAAAAGTTAGATATTATAGATAATATGAACTAACCCAGTTATTTCATTTAAAATCTATATGGCTTTTTGTTCTTATTGTAAGTTTCTAGAGTAAATACATTGAATCTAAAATTGACCTGTTACATACTTTAGAAATGTTGATAGTCAAGCTGAAAGAGTTATATGGTATGATCCATTTATTATTCACATGTTAAAATAGAACCATTCACTGACTCAATTAAAAAAATATAAATATTCATGAACATACAATTATTTAGGCAAAAACATATGTATTTTCCCTTTGAGCAAGGTAACGCCTGCAATATGTGGACAGTTTGCTTTTATATCAAATTGTATCTAATTGCATAATTTGTTAAAATTCATATATTATTGGAACCTAAATCTGTTTTCAGTAGAAAGTTAAAACATGTTTTTTGGCCTCCAACAGCGGGCTTCCGGCGGAGCTTCCGCCTCTGGAGGAGGACATCCTATAAGAGGAGGCGGCAGTCCTGCACTTCCTGCACCCCCAGTAGCAATGCACTGGCCACCCCTTATGAGGAGGTAGCCTTGTATCAGCGCCTCCCGCAGGAGAACCACCGCCTCATCATCCTCATTGGTGAGAGGAAAACCTTCAGAAAACAGAAGATTACAATTTTCTGAAAGCAGCTTAACTTTGCATAATTGCATGTTTTTAAAGCAAAGGAGATCAGATTGTATAATAAAAGCTCATATTGTGCTATTATGACTTCTCCCTTCTCCACATTGTCAGAATCCAATTCAATCCAATTCAGTTTATTTATAAAGCGCCAATTTACAACACATGTCATCTGAAGGTACTTTACAGTTCAACCAGATCATCCAGTCAAATTGATTAAACATTTTCTATCCAAAGAAAACTAGTTGATGGCACCAACTTATTGACTCAAAGGCAATCCCTCACACTAAGCATGCTTGCAACGACAGTGGAGAGGAAAAACTCCCTTTTAACAGGAAAAAACCTCCAGCAGAACCAGGCTCAGTGTGAGCGGCCATCTGCCTAGGCTGACTGGGGTTCAAGGAGACAGAAGCAGAGATAGAAAAATAAGCAGAGATACAAAATGCAGCTGTAAACCAGCTACACAGACGGTACTGACCAGGAAACACGCAGCCAGACAGACGAGCTCCGAGACAGCTCCTATGTCAGAGGATGAACGGAGCACATCCAGCCAGTCAGGGTCAGAGAAACAGGACTACTCTGAAAAACAGGCCGATCTCGAACATCTATAAACAAAGGTGTTGATGACAGCAATACAGCTGTTATTTCTCTCTTGGATGGTGTCACAGCCAAACAGGAACAGACCAGATAAAGCTACTATGGGAAAAAGCAGAGCGAACATAGTGTAAGAAATTGAACCAACAAATTCTGCTGGGTGGGTGAATAGAGATAGAATGAAGCAGAATGATGAAAAAGGGGTTCCTATGTCCTCCAGCAGTCTAAGCCTATAGCAGCATAACTATAGAGATAGCTCAAGATAACAAGAGCCCCTCTAACTATAAGCTTTATCAAAGATCCACTATTTTTAATTTTATTTAGGCATTTGATGAGACAGCTGTGGGTCACTTCATTCCTTAAACAAACAATGGCCCCGCTTCTCACTGCAGACTGTCATACTGTCACTTCCCACTTCTATTTCTTAACCACAAGCAAACTGTTTCATAACAATGCCTCCATATATAATATATTCTAGCAAATCAGTTTATTTCTCTAAAAAGTTTATCAAATACAGTAAAGGTATATGCCCCCCTCCCCAAAGATGGTTAATATGATGAACTACAAAAAGCTGATTTTAAAAGGTTAATTTGTATCTACCGGTATTAAGGTAAAAAACGATATCCAAACCAAACTATTGTATTCTGGGGAATGTATTATTGCCCCTATAATTAAATAATTAGATCAGGTCATATGTTGGAGGGCTATATTCACTTTAACTCGCCTGATTATTCTTTGGCCTGCAAAATTCAGAAATGATCTAAGGAGAAGCTGTCTGATAAGATTACGTTGGTCAAAAGCGTCGATCATTGACCATGACCTGGATGACTGAGAATCTACAGAGGTATGTTACTTCATTAAAGTAACTTAAGGAGTCATTGTCTACAAATAGAGAACACATTGAGCTTTCCCAGAAGAAGCTATCAAATTAAAAAATATTCAAAGACATCATCAGCAACTAATCTAGTTGACACCAAAACAATATCTAAAGCCATGCAGGCGTGTTTGTTTCAGTTAAGGTCAGAGTTCAAGTCTCCACAACAAGAAAGAGACTGGATAAAAATGGCCTCCATAGCAGAACTGCTGACTAAAACATAGTTATGTCCAAATACTTCTGTGAAGAAAAAAAAACTAATCTGGAACTTTTTGGAAGACGTTTATCTAACTAACACCAAATTTTACAAAAAAAACAACAAGAAAACGAATCAAACGTGGTGGGGATCTAATGATTGAGATGCTTTGCCGCTTAATTTCCTGAGGAACTTGCTACTATGATTACTATTTATGTATTACGGTTTTAAGATTTGTATTTCCATAGTTTGGTATTGTGAACCATATTTGTGTGTTCTTACAAGGTGCGATACATTATTACACCAAATGCAAACAAATATTGTAAACAAAACATTCAGTAGCTAGATGTTATTTCTTGTAGTTCTATAACCACATTTCTATGCTGTAGACCAGGGGTCTTCAACGTTTTCCACGCCAAGGACCCCCAAACTGATGGCGAGATGGAGCGGGGACAGCCTAATTATATATGTATTATGAAATTGTGTTATATCAAACTGGTCTTATAGTCACTCTATTACAGATGGAGTAATGTAATGAAAGTAATTTCTCCCTGGGATTGTTAAAGTATTTCTGATTCTGATTCCTGGTTGATGGGACAGGTGTTGTGAATGAAACGGTGCCCAGTTTGAAAGAGCTCCTGTGTGTCGCTGAATGTGTGCATTGATGACTGAAAGACATCTTCTGCCTCCATTTACAGTATCTGTTTACTACAGTGTGTTGAAGTCATGTTAATTTGTATTTAAATACATTTCAATTAGTAGAAAAAAATAGCAGGAGGAATATAAAAAAAAGCCTAATAAATCAAAACTTTCGAGACCCCCATGCAGTACCTCCAAGGACCCCCTAGGGGTCACGGACCCCCCGTTGAAGACCTCTTGGCTGTAGACCATGAGCAGAAAGCATTTATTTCTAAGCAATAACAAAATGTATCCAAGACTGAAAAAAACTGATCTGGGGTGGTCAATAACAACAACCAGTCAAAGGAAGATATAAAACCAACACATTGTTTGTGTCCAACAACAGGTGCTTCAGGAGTTGGAGTCAACGAGCTGAGGAAGAGGCTCATCAAACTAAACCCTTCGACCTTCCAGGGACCCGTACCTCGTATGTTTTCTCATCTCATTTATGACACTTTAGTTTTGCAGCTCCTTTTTTTTATAAACTGATAATTGAAATCCATGGAAAATGACTTGAAAACAAAACACATTTGTTTCTTTATAGAACTATTTGACTTTAATCTTTTGTAATATATTCATATTTTTATATCTTCATGTAGTAAATATTGTTTTATTGTAGCAAAACATACATTTTATAAATAGAATTTTGAAGAAAATAAAACTCAAAAATCCAACTTTGAAGAATTTCTTTAAAAAAAAAGTTTCGAGAAGAATTTTATTTTTATTTTTTTATATTTTATTTTTTCAGACTGTAACAAAAAAAAAAGGAATTTCTTTTTCAAAATGTAACTTTGCTATCACCTCTTTATTTGTTTTTATGGATTTTATTCTTTTCATACCAGGCTTCACAGCTTACTCGCCTTACATTTTAAGTCCAATCCAAAACTCTTGCTCTTGACCAATAAAAATGTTGTTGCCAACCACCATGCAGACCAATAGATATGCGTCTTCACTCCTTCCTCAAGAAGTAAAGAATATTTTATCTGTAATAATCAATTTTCAAAAATTCTGTTAGTAAAACATCAATCTAAAAAAGACTAACTTTAAAAACTAAATCTGAAAACATGAAATCTGTAAATAAAGACATAAAAAGATACAATATATTTTACAACAACAACACAACAATAAAGCTACTCTCAAAACCTTCTTTCATTAAGTATTTGTGGATTACATACATTTTTTTTTCAAATTTCCATTTCAGTTATTCAGATTAAAGAATGGGAATATAATTACATTCTTGTTCTACTTACTTGGTTGGAATTGAACTGAATAAAACGTTTTAATGTCAATTTCAAATTTATTTATATAGCAATTTAAAAACTGGTATAAAACTGCACCAAGACAGCAACACCAATTAACAAAACAGAATATGAAACACTGCTTCAATTAAAAGCCAAAGAATAAAAATAAGTTTTAAGAAGCGATTTAAAATGATCCAAGCTGTGGGTGGATTTAATTTGAAGAGAAAATTGGTTCCACAGAATTGGAGCAACAACAGAGAAAGCCTGATCTCCTTCCCTCTTAAGTCGAATCTGAGGAACTGTCAGTAATAGTTGATTATTTCAATGTAGACTTCTCAACACAGACTGGAATTTTAAAAGGTCTCTAAGATAAGGAGGAGCTAATCCATTTAGGACTTCATAAGTTAATAAAAGAATCTTAAAATCTATTCGGTAAAAGACAGGCAGCCAATGTAAAGAGGCCAGTATGGAATTTACATGGTCACGCTTCCTGGTTCCAGTAAGAAGCCGAGCCACTGCGTTCTGGATCAATTGAAGTTGCTGAATCTGTGATTTATCCATCTATATAATGATTTGTAATAATCCAACGGGGATGTAATGAAAGCATGGATTAGTCATACAAGGTCCTTAAAACAAAAAAAGGATTTGATTTTTGCTAAAATCCGCAGGTGATAAAAACTTGAGCTAACTGTTTATCTAGCTTTAAACAGCTGTCAAAAGTAAAACCAAGATTCCTTGCAGGGGTCTGACAAAACCGAGCTAAAGAACCAAGAATCAGATCTGAATTTGTAGTATGAAGACTCTGACCAAATAATATAACTTGAGTTTTACTTTGATTAAGGTGAAGAAAGTTTTGCTCCATCCAAGATTTGACTTCAGCTAAACAATCTATAAATAGCTGAAGAGATTCTTTTTTTCTTATTTTGTAGTTTAAGGGGCATATAAATCTGAACATCATCTGCAAAGAAATGAGAAGAAACACCAACCTTATGGAAAATCTGACCAAGAGGCAGTAAATACAAAATAAACAAAATGGGATCTAAAATTGAGCCTTGGGGAACGCCGTACTTTAAAGGTTTGGCTCCAGAACAGCATTGGTCAAGACGAACTGAAAAAGTTCTATTTTCTAAATAAGATTGAAACCATTCAAATTCGGGGCCTCTCAGGCCAATATAATGTTTTAATCTGTGTAGAGAATCTGATGATCTACAGTGTCAAATGCAGCACTCAGATCTAAAAGTAATAAAACTGCAACATTGCCTGAATCAACTGTTAAAAGACGATCATTATATTGTACACTCCAAGCAAAGTTGTTTCAGTGCTATGTGCAGCTTTAAACCCAGACTGAAACTGCTCAGTTATATTATTGTCTTTTAAAAACATCTCAAACTGATTAAGAACAAATTTTTCCAGAACCTTGGATAAAAAAGGGAGTTTGGAAATTGGCCTAAAATTTGCTAGTACCGGTACACTTGAGTTTAGATTGTTTTTTTTAAGAAGGGGTTTAACCACAGCATGTTTAAGTATTGATGGGACATAACCAGACTGCAATTAGGCATTTATCACCATTTTAAAAAATGGCTGGAAGAGAGAAAAATGTCCTTTATCAGACGAGTAGGAAGACAATCCAAAGAATAATTTGGTGGCCGCAGATGCTTAATGACTGAAGTCAGTTCATCTAAAGAAACTGTCTGAAAATGTTCCAGAATCCCCAAAGAGAACAACAATTATGAAGTCTAAATGGTGGAAATATAAATAAGAATAAAAAAAATCATCACTAAACCTAAACTGAAAGTTGTTGTAAGTCTATAAGTTATAAGTCTGATGTAAAGCAGTAGATTTATAATTTTAAAAAAAGCAGCCAAGTGTATAATGTTACACAGACTTAGAGCAGCACATCCATACAGTCTCTATCCATTGCTGCTCTTTTATTGTGAAATTTACACTCAAATAATTTAATGGAAAACATTAATTCGTTAAATTATGACCCTAATATCCTCAGGATGTAAATTTGCTGCCGTTTCCAAATTCAGTATAGTTCCTACTATTTAAATTCCCGGTCTGCTTAACCTAGAATAATTTATACACCAAAAGCACAAATACTTTTTTATTGTTGGAAATATGGAGCTAATCCCTCTTTGTTTTGCACATCTCATTTAGAGCTCAAGTTATTTTTAGCAGAAGAAATAGAAATTAGTTCCTTTTTTGCTTTCATTTGTAACTACCCAACAGTTCCTGATTAATTAGTGTTTTTGATAGCTACACATTAGTTGTTTTTAAACCCTTGGTATCTATCCATTAGTGTCTGATTAGTTACTCTTTGTTTTCTTGGTAACAAAACATTGGTTCCTCATTAGTTACTATTTGTTTCCTTTGGTAACTAGACATTAGTTCCTAATTGGTTACGCTTTAGTTACTCTTTAGTTCCTTGGTAACTATACATTAGTCTGCTATTAGTTCTCTAGGTGTTCTCTCGTAGTTGATATTTGTACCTTATTGTGAAGTTCAACCAATTTAAGATATTCTTCCCATGATAAAATTATGCCACAATGTGCTCCTGTAGATACAACTCGCCCAATGAAAGACGGGGAGCAGGCAGGCAGAGAGTACCACTTTATCACTAAAGAACTGTTTGAGTACATGGTCTGCAACCACAGGTAGGAATCTTTAGTACCATCCTTTGTGAAAGGTTTGCCTGCTTTTGTAAACCATTATTGATGATCTGCATAATTCTCTGTGTTCAGATTTGTTGAGTACGGGGAGAGTAAAGGTCACCTGTATGGAACCAGCATTGATGCTATTCACGATGTGCTAAAACGAGGCCGGATGTGCATCATTGATGTTGAACCACCAGTGAGTTCACTAAGGAAGCCAACATGTTAAGAGTTTTCTACACTTCCTGATGTTATGTTTATGTTATGAGAGCCGGTGGAGTCAAATACATTTCCTGCCTTCCTAATATTGTCCTATTCATAATTCAATTTTATATTAAGTCATTTAGACATAAACAACTGCATCATTTTTAGTTTCCCATAACTGTTTGGTCCTGTTGTCTAATAAGAAATATTTTTAAAAAGTATAAGAATAGCTAATTGATAAAGCAAATTATCATTTAAGGAGGATGGCTCCATTTAGTGAATGACACTGAAAAATTCCAAATTCCATGGATGGATGGATGGATGGATGGATGGATGGATGGATGGATGGATGGATGGATGGATGGATGGATGGATGGATGGATGGATGGATGGATGGATGGATGGATGGATGGATCTGTGAAAAGGTCAATAAAACAAATAAGCTGGACAGTTATAGATTATTTGAATTTAGAAATTATACAGTGCAGCATGATGCTCATCCATTTCATAGGTGCGATTGGTTAAACAGTGCCTTTGTGTTTTGTTCTTTTTTTTTTTTGGTTCTCAGAGCATCCATTTTTTACGATCAAGAACCCTGAAGCCGTATGTGATTTTCATCAAAGCACCAGGCCCAGAATGTCTAAGACAAAGTCGAAGGAACGCCAGAATCATCACTTGTTACGCCGTCAACAGGGCATTCACAGTAAGAGCACTCGCAACCTGCTTTTATTTCTAGAGAGACTTATCTGGGTAAACTTGGTAAGAATGTAAATCTTTACAATCAGTAAAACACCAGTGCTGAATGCCAATGATAGGATTACAGCAGGAACTAAGATCTCAAATGTTTACTTTTCTTGTTACTCAGGAGGATGACTTTTTAGAGCTGGAGGAGATGTCCCAACTCATCGAGGCCAAATGCAAACAGTACTTTGATAGCGTTGTGGTGAACGATGACCTACAGGATGCTTGCATGCAGCTCTGCTCCATCATCCAGCAGGCGCAGAACGAGCCTCAATGGATCCCTGTGTGCTGGCTGCATGCAGAGGAGTAGCACATGAGGAAGGCAGGGCCCTGCTGATGAGTTCTAGGAGAAGACAAGGAAAATTAGCTAAAGGATAGACATAATCTTTCAGTCAAGCTTACACATGATGCATGTATTGCTTCAGTATGTAGCAGATTTCTATCTGTCTCATTAAATAGAAGCAGATTTTCAGTCTCAGTTGGGATTCCATCTGTTACTTTTCTTTATCTGTGATCCTGAATTGAAGGCCTACATAAAAAAGAGGAATGTATTCTGAAAAATGTAATTTTTTAAATTCTTAGTTGAATTGTTATATTGTGACTGATACCATTGCTATTGCTACTATTGCTTAATGTTTGATAATGTAAATAAAATGGAGAATTAATTTCCACGATAAACAAACCGTCATGAAATCTAATCATTTTAGGGGAATTATAAAATGCTTGAATACTAAACTGTCACTTTGTAGTTGAGCAAAGATGTACATTTATCAGAAGGTATCTCTCTCTCTCTCTCTCGAGAAGGATAACTGTATTGTTTACTCTACAATTTGGATTCCTATTTTTTTTTTTTTTTGCTTCCATTGTCCTCAAGAAGTTCTAGACCCACTTCTTGATTCTTTGTGATGGTCAGTCAGGGTTTGTTAATTTTTTGTCCATTTCAGTTCACATACATAGCTCAGTCAAATGTATATGTATGTTTTTTTATACGCTTAATGTATTTCCAAAGCACACCTTGATTAAGTTTTCACTTTCTTGCCTGTTTATCTTAAGCATTTAAAATATCTCTACAGCTAAGGGGACAATTGTGGTTCTAGGAAATGTTTCCCTGGGTTACTATTGTTTACCGAGGGTTGGCTGGAAATTGATAGGCCCAAAAACATCTTAAGGTCAATATGTATTGATCAAAATAAACCAAAAGGAAAATAAACACACACATCTATATCTTCCAAAAATATCACAGACTTATTTTTCATTAGAGTCCTTACTGACAAAGCTATGCGCATATTTATACATTAGTGCGTTTGGAGAGAAGGGGTAGAAGAAAAGGGAAATTAACTAAAGGATAGACAAAATCTCTCATCAACCTTACACATATTGCATGTATTGCATCAGTAATCAGCATATTTCTATTTGTCTCATTAAATAAAAGCAGATTTTCAGCGTCAGTTGGACATCCATCCATTACTTTTCTTTGTCTGTGATCCTGAATTGAATGCCTACTTAAAGAGGAGAGAAGGTATTCAGAAAAGTTTTATTGTAAGATGGCTGTGGAGACCAAAGGAAGTACATATTTAATCATTTGTTTGGTCTTGAATATAACATATAGGTTAAAGGTTTAGAAAAGATTAATATAATTGATATAATAATTTTATTATCAGGAAGCTAAGCTGGATGAAAACTTTCTGAACAAAGGTTCAGGTTTTAAGCAAAAGAAATAACACCTAACTTAAAGGCTAAGATAGCATTAGAGAATGATAAGATTTCCCACTATAATAACACAATCAGAATTTATTATTAAATCACTAAAATACAGAGCTAGAGCACGGTAGATTATACAAAACAATAAGGGAATTTAATCATTTGCATTTGTGGGAAACTAAGAGTGAAATACTGAAAGGAACTGTATTTATTAGATGGCCTGACATTAACCAATAATTTAACAGGGACAGTTGAGTACAAGAGCTGCAGTGGAAAAGGACCTTGGTAAATCATAGCAACTCAAGGCTTTTAATGTGTCTAAGTCAATCCCCCCACACTACCAAGAGCTGAAGATACTGTCATGCATATAGGATGTGGAGCAGCTTGTGACATCCCATATGAGTGTGAGCAAGAATTAACTCCTTCAGTGACACAGATAAAAGGTGTGAAGAATCCCTAACAATACCCCTGTTGTCCTGAGACCTGTCCTGCCTTTGTTTCTCATGTCTAATTTTAGATTTCACACATTCTTCCCCTGTGACATAGAAATGTTCATTCAGTAGAGCCAAAGAACCAACACATAATGTGTCCTAAAGGTCAGCTGACATGGATGACTTCAACCAGGAGATTCTGTCTGTGGCCCCAAACTGATCCTCTGTTTGCTGTGCTTAACGTGTGCATTATTTAAACTCAGTGGAAATGCTGCTGTTCTGTAAAGATCTCAAATATTTGTTGAAGAGCATTAGTGAAGAAGCAGGATAGTAAAAAAAAAACAAGGAAAACAGTCAAATCAGGGATAGAGATGCAGAGAGGTTGTAAAGGGTGTCACATCTAAAGACGATATCCTAATCTATGATCATCTCATACGGCTCCGTTTTATTCTAACATCTTAAAATGGAACGGCAAACCCAGGGAAGAGCTGCAGCACTTCGTTGAAAGAAAAAGACAGTTTTACTCGTCCCACAAACATCATGTAAACCATAAAAGATGAAGGTGGAGGCATCATGATTGGTTGCTACTCATCTTGCAGAGGTTTAACTTTAAAAGATCTGTTCAAAACAGAAATAGAATAGTGTTAAGGAAAGCAAATTAATTGTGTAAATAGTCTAAATAAAGTTAAGATTTAATCCCATCGAGAATCAGTGGTAAAAGAAATTGGCTGAGCATAGATACTCTGCATCCAATCTGACCAGGTTAAGACTATTCTAGGAAGAATTGACCAATAAACCAATCTTAAGATATTTAATTTTAGCTGAAACTTACCTTAAAAAGCATTTCTACAAGTTATTGACTCAGCGTCAAACCTTTCATTTACAGTTATGCCTGATTTTCAAGCTACTTCACTTCTATTTGCAGCTTTTTTAAAATCTATGAAATTAAATCCCATAAAAATCTGTTTTTAAGAACATCATATTGGTCCTATTAAGTTAACAGTGTATTGATCATTTATGACACTTTTTTTCTGTTTAAACTATAACAATTGTGCATTCTCAAGTGAAGGGTGATTAAACAATATCAATTTATAGGTGGGATTTCTTAAAACGTAAGAGTAAGACTTTCAGATGGGCTCTTCTTTGTTGAAAATATTTAGTTTCTTTTCCCTAAAACTTCTCCAGTCTGTAGAGTTACAGTACAGATAAACTTAGCCTTAAAACCAGAATCTTTGCACAGCAGACAACCCAGTTAATGGTGACAATCCTACCTGGTTGCTCACATACAAAAGAGGACTGACAGTATGATAATGATAGGCGTTGATGACTGAGTTTTATTCCAGATGGCTGAGTCATCCTTCCAGTTACTGCATTGGGAGAGGGCAATAAATGGACATCAATGCACTTCCATTTAACAGTGGGCCTTCTTTCTTCATGAAAATGGCTTCCTTTAACTCCTTCATTCTTATAAGAACATCATCCCAGCAGATGTAAACAGCAGAATCTTGGCCTGATGATGTTGTGTTGCTGGGCCATCTTTTAGACCAGTGGCTGCTCTGTTTCCCTGATATAGAACTCGTCCTTCTGGTATTTAACAGCATAAACCATGTTTCCTTGTTTGTACCTTAGGACCCGATCTATAAATCAGATTGTCTTTCCTTTCAGATTAAACGATTTGTCCCATAAAAATATGGAAAAAAGAGAACGTTACAGAATACCAAAATACTTTGACATTATTAACAAATGAGATTTTCAGACATCCTTATAAAACATCAAATGATTAGGAAAACACATTTTAAAACATCTATTATATGTATGTGTATATATATATATATATATATATATATATATATATATATATATATATATATATATATATATATATATATATATAATATTTATATCAGAATGATATAGCAATGTTTTTTCCTCATTGTCTTTCCATTTGAACTTCATCTATTAGATTTTCTCTTTAAAAGGTATCAGAACTGTGTGAAGCAGAAGAGCAATAGATAGAGTCACAGAATGCATTAATTCACCTCTCAACCAGTTCAAATATTAGTTTTGCCTTCATACTTCATTTTCATATCCTGTACAGAACCATACTTTTTTTTTTTTTTATTCTAAATAGGTACGTTTTTAATGAGTTACTCCGACAATAATCTTAAAGATGTTTAATATTTTCAAGGATATCTAATTTTTTCTTTCCGAGTAATATTTCCATTATGTAGGCATGTATCTGTTCAGACTTATAATCAAACAATAGCGACCTTATGCTGGTTGATACTATTATTCAGAACCATATAGCCATATTTCTTTCTAAATTTTCAAAATAAATAATAAAAATACTATATTTAACAATGTGTTGGTATTATTCTGATGGGTACTAATCAGCCCATTTTTACTTTTACTTTTTTTTTTTTTTTATTCATCCATTTCATTGAATACCAAATAAAAACAGCCTATCAAATTTTTGATATACTAAAAAATAAAAATACACCTCCATCCATACATACCTACATATCCATCTGTATACATTACATACATATATACACACACAGACATACTACATATGTATTTCAAAATTTTAAAACAAAATTAAATGAAAGGCAGCAGAAAGAAGAAAAAAATCTTATAATATCTGCCCCTTTTTTCTCAGCTCTGAAACTAAACAGGAAGAAAATGGTTATCTTCTGCAACAAAAACAAAATCAGTCGTCAATCTCAACTAAACAACGATAGTATGAGCTCACTTTATACTATTTCATACTTCTTCAAGAATCCAGTCTTTAACATTCTCTTAAACATGTGCAGTGATTTGGCATTTTTAACATAATTTTGTAGTTCGTTCCACAGTTTTACTCCTTGTATCAAACACTAACCTGTGCAGATCTAACCCCAACTATTGTAGAAAAATGAAACAATTCAATGTTTTTTTTAATATACTTCTTATTAGTGCATATAAGGGAATGGCAAATCATGTGGATGGGATGCTTTTTAACATAGTTTATTAAAAATTAATTACAGTTTTTTTTTATTACTATGCTTTTAGAAATGAGAGGAAAGTGAAATATAATATGAATGGATACATTTTATCACAGTTATTTCAATTCAATTCAGTTTATTTATATAGCGCCAAATTCACAACACATGTCATCTCAAGGCACTTTACAGTTCAACCAGATCAAATTGATACAAAGTTTTCTATCTAAGGAAAACCAGTTGATTGCATTGACTCATTGACTCAAATACAATCCCCCACACTAAGCATGCTTGTAGCGACAGTGGAGAGGAAAAACTCCCTTTTAACAGGAAGAAACCTCCAGCAGAACCAGGCTCAGTGTGAGCGGCCATCTGCCGAGGCCGACTGGGGTTCAAGGAGACAGAAGCAGAGATACAAAAAGCAGCTGTAAAAGGCGGCCCCGTCCAGGAAACACACAGCCAGGCAGACGAGCTCCAAGGCAGCTCCCATGCCAGAGGACGAAGAAAGCACATCCACTCAGTCACGGTCAGAGAAACAGGACCACACTGGAAAACAGGCCGATCTCCAACATCTATAAACAAGGGTGTTGATAGAAGCAGCACAGCTGATGTTTCTTTCCAGGATGACGTCACAGCCAAACAGGAACAGACGAGGCAAAGCTACTCTGAGGAAAAGCAGAGAGAGCAGAAGGTTAGAGATTGAACTAACAGATTCTGCAGAATAGGAGAACAGAGAGAGAATGAAGCAGAATGATGAAATGGGGGTCCCTATGTCCTCCAAAAGTCTAAGCCTATAGCAGCATAACTATAGAGATAGCTCAGGATAACCTGAGCCACTCTAACTATAAGCTTTATCAAAAAGGAAAGTTTTAAGCCTAGCCTTAAAAGTAGACAGGGTGTCTGCCT